AAGAAAGCTTTATCCAACTGAGAATACAGGGTTCGCGTATAGTGTCCTTTTATAGTCCCAGTAAACTGAAATAGCTCTCTCAAAGAGGAGAGTGACAAAACAAGAGGAGAGCACTCTTGATTATTCAAAACACTGTGGTCCATATAACAACATAACAACCTTCAAAAGTGGTTTAACACTTCACAGACACCTCTTCCGAGTATCAACACCCCACCCCACCCCATAAAGGAGAACATAGTTCTTAAACTATGTTTACGCCATCCCGTGCAGCTATGGTAAGAAATATAATTGCCTTAAGTGAGCCATTCTGAAATTTCACTGGGGCAATTAATTAGCTTTGATAAAGTTTGCACAAGACTTTTATGGATTGATGACAAATGATATGGCTAAAGGATGGGTACCTTGTCATTTCCTGGGGATTTTCATTTTGAGGATTTTGGTAGAGCTTGCCTAACATTATTCTGGATTATATTTTCTATTCTCGTGGTACGATTTATCCTTTCACAGGATTATCCTTTATTTCTTCTTCTCGTTTGATCTACCCTGCATTGGGATTGTATTCCTTTAGGTTGCTTCAAATAATCTTCAAAAATGTTTGCAGTTCTTAAAAAGATGGCGACTTTTTGACTTCTATAACTGCTTTTGTAAGAGAAGGAGATAAAAAAGGCAGTTAATTCTGATTCAAGAATGAGTTTTTCTACATTAAAATGAAAACCTGATTTTTCGGGGTGCAGTATTAATTTCCACTCGGAACTAATTTCAACTAGAAACTAATTTTAGAGTTTTTTACAAAAAAAAAACAAAACAAAAAAAAACACAAAAAGTACTAGAAAAACAAACAAACAGCTAAGCAATCTACTGTTCTTGCTACAAAGAAAACTGCATTTTTATTGGATCAGATTTAAATGAATAAAAGTAAATAAAAAAGTACCACTTTATTCATTTGCAACAAAAAAAGAATGAAAGTTTCAGAAATGATGATTTTGAATTCTCTTATCTACTAAGGAATTTTAATTCTAAATTTTAAAAAAATAAAACCAACTCATTGCATTTTGCTTAGTAATTCACAGAAATTGATTTTAAATCGAGTTGAAATTAGTTCCGAGTTGAAATCAATTCTGAGTTGAAGCTGGTTCGGATGTTAGTTTCGAGTTTAAATTAGTTCAAAGTTGAAACTAGTTCCGATGTGAAATTAGTTCAGAGTTGAAATTAGTTCCGATATGAAATTAGTTCAGAGTTGAAATTAATTCAGAATTTAAATTAGTTCAGAGTTGAAGTTAGTTCCGAGTTGAAACTAGTTCCGAGTTGAGATTAATTCGGAGTTGAAGCTAGTTCCGAGTTGAAATTAGTTCCGAGTTGAAATTAGTTCCGAGTTAAAATTAGTTCAGAATTGAAATTAGTTCAGAGTTTAAATTAATTCGGGGTTGAAACTAGTTCCGAGTTGAAATTAGTTCAGAATTTAAATTAGTTCAGAGTTGAAATTAGTTCAGAGTTGAAGTTAGTTCCGAGTTGAAACTAGTTTCGAGTTGAGATTAATTCGGAGTTGAAGCTAGTTCCGTTTTGAAATTAGTTCAGAATTGAAATTAGTTCCGAGTTGAAATTAGTTGCGATGTGAAATTAGTTCCGAGTTAAATTTAGTTTCGAGTTGAAATTAGTTCTGTCACTTGATTTTTCACTTCAACAAATGCGTCAGTAGACACAGATAAAAAAAAGCATAGAGTTTAGCATAGATTAAAAGTGAAATTCAACAATTAAGTTAAGACTGCTGAAAAAGACTGGAACCAAAACTTGGAGAGTTGTGTTAAAGGTGAATAGATGAGACATTTGGAAGAGGCATGGCACGAGGAACTAGAACTATCTACTCCGGTGAACGAAATAAAGGGTTCGGTTCGAAATGCCAATCACCTGAAGAAAGCCGGAGCGTACAACGGCCGAAACGTTTTGAATATGGCAATGAAAACGAGGATATCATTCTGAGTAATGCAAATAATTCAAGTAATCTGCATTTAAACCTAAAATACTCGGAGATTACTAAGTCGTTATTTATATTTATAAAGCAGAAGATCTGTGTGTGTGTGTGTGTGTGTCTGCGTGTGTGTCTGTGTCTGCATGTGTGTGTGTGTCTGTGTGTGTGCACGTTATTTATATACATCAGCATTTCTCTACCGATTTCGATGAAATTTTACACATATGTTGCAAATTTAATGATTTAAGTCAAGACCAATCGCCAGCCTCCCATCCTCGGGTTTGACAGTAAAATCGAAAAAACTGAAGATGGATACGGATTTTTGGAAAAAAATATGGCAAAGTTTCCCGCTAAAAAAATATTTACTGTATGACCAGATGATCTTTGCACTTAATGCAAAACATAGCTCATCTTACGAGGTTTATGGAAAATGATGGATAGTTTTCCGGCTTCACACAAAAATTGCAAAAAATTGTGAAAAAATAGGGTCTTTCGTACTACTTAAAATAAAAACTTGAATAACTTCCTCATTTTTTACTCGATTTTGTTCAAACATGTCGCAAAAAATTGCCATCATGCAAGAAATAAGTATGTTTATAGTCCTGCTCGCTTTCCTGAGTATAGCGTTCGGTAGGCAAGGTCGAATTTACTGCTTATAAACTTGCCTACCGAACGCTCCTTTGTGGCCGAGTCGGTTAAGGCACGTCAGCGTAAATGACGGTTCCGTATAGGATGCAGGTTCGAATCCTGTCAAAGAACGAATATTTTCTATTAAAATTTCTCGGACATTCAGGCCGGTAAATGTTATTTAATATTGTTTATTCTAAACAGAGCATTTACTTAAATACTTGTATCTATAAAAAAGAACGTTAAACATAAAAATGTCTTTAATAAATAAATTGTCGGACTTTGTCCATTTCTTAATATATATATATGCGTGTGTGTGTGTGTATGCACAGGGTATAAACATAAAATGTCTTTATATATATATATATATATATATATATATATGTGTGTGCGTGTGTGTGTGCACAGAGTATATCAAAAATATTTTTTAAATTTGCGAGGCGGATTCCTCAAATCAAAACAAGGACAAAAGTTCATATAAACACATATCACAATTCCTTCTTTATTGAATTCTTAAGTTTAAAAAATGTTTACGGTCGATGTGCACAGTGTTGCCATGTAGACTAGGTTCCATTTGTCATTTGTGTACATTTGTGGCTAGTTTGTCTTCAACGTTTAATATGAGTAGTAATGAGTTAACTGAGAATGTTCCCTTTAACAATGGCAAGATATTCATATCCTGAGCAGGCAGATATGATTTTTATATACGGCCGTGTGAATGGTAATGGACGCGAGGCTGCAAGGTTGTA